CGAGATCGTGTCACTGCACTCCAGCCCAGGCGACAGAGTAAGACTCCGTCTCAAAAAAAAAAGGGGGGTGGGCTAGGAGCACTGGCCGGGGGTTCACTGTGAGGAGCCCAGAGCCACAGGTGCTCAGGACTTCATGGGGTGTAAAGAGAGGGCACGTGGGATTATTATCATTACTGTTGGTCTCAGCCGGCCGCCCTCTCTGCCTCTTACCTGAGACAGGAGGCAGAGCAGGACTCTGAGAATTCCCCTGCCCCAGGACCCAGGACGAGCTCCTGGGAGGAGGATCTGGAGACCCCAGCGCCGAGTCTGTATGCAGGATGCCTGCCCCTAGTGTGCACCCCAGGACTGCCCATCCCGACTCTCAGGTCAGGCCCTGCTGGGCAGCTTCCTCTACTCCAGGCTGCTTCCCCTTCGCCCAGTGACACGAGCCTTATGGGGGTGGTAGGGAGGGGCACCGGAGAGGTTAAATCTCCGACGCCGACAGGGCAGAGGCCAAACCCAGCCGGGGACAAGGTCCAGGCCTGCTCTGCAGATATGGCCACTGCTGCTGCTGCTGCTGCTGTTTGGTAAAGAGTGGTGGGTTAAGACCGGGCATGGTGGCTCACACCTATAATCCTAGCACTTTGGGAGGCCAAGGTGGGTGGATTGCCTAAGCTCAGGAGTTCGTGACCAGCCTGGGCAACATGGTGAAACCCCATCTCTACTAAAATACAAAAGAAATTAGTCGGGCATGGAGGCGTGTGCCTGTAGTCCCAGCTACTCAGGAGGCTGAGGCAGGAGAATTGCTTGCACTCGGGAGGCAGAGGTTGCAGTGAGCCGAGATCACGCCATTACGCTCCAGTCTGGGCGACAGAGCGAGACTCCATCTCTACAGAAAAAAAAAAAAAAAAGCTGCAGGTAGAGGACTTGGAGAATAGAGAGGAAGGGGGGCTGCCTTCCATCCCTAGAAGGCCAAGGGTCAGGGCCCCAGTTCTCTTAAAACCGGTAACCCAGTCCTGGGTTTGAGCAACAGGAACACGGGTCCCACACAGAGAAGGCGACAGGCAGCAAGGGACTCAGTCTTCAGCCTGCAGGGAGAAGCTCCATGCAGATCAGACAGGACCCTGGAAGGTGCTGAGGGTGGACCCCGATGACCAGGGCAGAGCAGATGGAGGGCTGTCCTCAAGGAGGCCCAGCTTCCTTAGAGATGAGTGAGCTCCCTGTCTAGAGAGAAAAGCAAGCACAGCCAGACACCCACTTATAATGAGCGTATGGGTGGGAAGTGGGGAGCAGACTGTGGGGCCAAGGGAAGAGGCGTTCAAGGAAGACTTCATAAGAGTGGGCTCTGAAGGCTACATAGGAGTTCTCTGGGCGGATAGGTAGATGATGAGCTAGGTAGAAGGAACGGCATGTGCAAACCAGGAGGCATGAAAAAGCAGGAGCATCCCAAGAACTACTTTAGCAACAAGAATTGCTGCAATGTATACACCTACTATGTGCCCACAAACTTTTTAATTTAAAAAAAAAAAAAAGAATAGCTACAAATGTATGGAACTTTGACATATATTATCACATTTAATCCTCACAACAACCCCCTGGGTGTGATGAGGAAACTGAGACTGGGAGAGGTTAAAGGACTTTCCCAGAATCACATAGGATTCCACTGCAGGCAGTCTGATTTTGAGCTGGCGGGGCGAGGGATGGAAGCTGGGCTGCAGAGGTCACGGGGGCTGGATGGAAAGAGATGCATGGTAGACCTGCAAGGCCTTGGGACCCGGAGCTGAGCTCTGAGGCCTCAGTCTCCTGAGGTGCAGGGTCCAGGCTGGCTGAGGCCTCCAGCAAGAAGGGCCCAGACAAATGGCTTTGCCAGGCCAGCATCTTCCTGGGACACCGGGTGCCGCTGTGAGGGGGCCTTCATCTTTCAAGAGTGGGTGCTCACAGGCGCCAACTGCTTTGACAGGTGGGTGCACAGCTAGGAGGGGTGGTGGAGAGGGGCTCCAGGAGGGTGGCCCCCCAGCCTCTCCACCTCTCCAGCCTCTTCACTTCCCCTTTGCCTCTTCTCTCCACAGTTGGCCTTGGTCCCACTTCAGTGTGACCTTGGGTCCAGCTTGACTGCAGATGGACTCTTGTGAGATCAAGTCACCATGGGGGAGCTGCTCTTGTCCTCAGCAGGGCCCGAGGGCTCTGGGTTTGGTAGCCTGGCCCTGGCACAACTGGCAAGGCCTCTGTCGCTCACCAGTGCTGTAGAGCCTGTCCCCCCGGCCACCCAGTCCCACTGTTTCCTCTTCCTGAGACAATTCTGCTGAGGCCAGGGATTTAAACCCGATTTCAGTAAGGGCGGGAGCAGAAGCCTGGGATGGTTGAGAGACTGGGGGAGGCAGATGGCCAGGGTGCTTGGGACCCTGCAGGAGCTCTGGCCAGCTGCCTGGCAGCACCATGGCCATAGGCACATGCAGGGAAGAGGGCTGGCGCTGACACCTGCTCTGTTCGAGCCAGCTTCCAGCCTCACCACTGCCCAGTGGCTGACAGCCCAATGCGCTGGAAGCTTCCCTGAGGGGACTGTGTGGGAGTGCACCAGAGGACAGAGCTGTACTGAGAGTGAGGTGGGAGCGAGGAATGTCTAGGAGCCCAGGAAGGCATCTGGGGGTGGAGAGACTTGGCACAGGCACAGGCAGGGAAGCTTGGCAATATATGTTCACAACCAGCATGGCTGGACTGGTGCAGACGTGCTGGTGTCAGCTGGGCTGAGGGTCGGCCCCACCCCATTGCAGATCCCTACATCCCCAAGAGCTGCAGAGTGTCCTACTGAAATCGCTGCATGTCAGCATCAGCAGAGACTACCTTCTCCTCCAACCTGACTGTCCTGACCTGAAGGACAGCCTGCCCAAGGACTTCTAGTGCACCAGGCTCTCCACTGGGCCCTCTGAACTGGTGGTCAGGATTCCAGCAGGCCCTATGCAAGTCCCTGAGACCCCCTCCCCTGAAGTCCCTTCTAATGCCACTAGACTTGTTAAAGTTAGGCCTGGTCACCCTCCCATCCTATCCTGGAGTCTTCCGTTCCCCAAGAACCAGGGTTTGGGCTTATTTGCACCCCTGAAGGCCACCCTAGAACTTCCTACCCCTTGGGGAGACTCCCCCATTGTGTCCTATTCGAATGTGGGGCAGTCTTTGGTATAGCCAGGTCTTAAACTACTGGGAGCCCCTCCAGTTATTCGATAACTACAAGCATTTTGCTGAAAACTAACTTTTGTGCAGTATCAAGCCTCAAAGGCCAAAGGGAGGAAAGAATTGAGTGAGACTGACAGAATGTGTGGGAGAAAGCACTTTAACCAGAGAGTGGAAGCACTTTAACCAGGGGTGGAAGAAGGGAGTATGACCCCCCTCTCTAGGAGGGGAAATGGGCCCTGTCTTGAGCTTTGGGTGCAGCACTTGGGCCATCAGCCCACCCGCACCCTCCCCCAGCTGCTCTTGTCAGATGTGTGAACCTGGTTACCCACCGCCCCCCCCCCCCGTTCCCTAATCAAGTATCTTTGCTCACCAGGCAGGGGATGGTTCAGTGGGTGCAGACTGGGCTGAGACTGCTCCTTCTCTCCCTCGTGCAGACGGCTGATGGGACTCCCCTAGTCTGCTCCCAAGCCGGCAGCTGCAGGGTGTGATGACCTGAGGTCCCTGCTTGGAGCCTAGCCTCCCGGGAGTCTACACACCTGTGAATCCCTTCATTTCCTGGATCTGAGATAATGTCTCCAACATCTCCTTTGACATCTGTGCCAACAGATGCTCTTGGGCTGGCCCAGGACAAGACAGAGGCAGTGGGGGTTGTTAGCCTCCGGAGTCCTGGGTTTGAATCCTGACTTAGCTACTTACCTGCCTTTGCCATCTGAATCTGTTTCCTCCTCTGTAAAATGGAGATGTCTTCAATTACTCATTTATCAACAAGTTAGCAGTTACCAAGTGCTTACTGTGTGACAGGTCACGGAGATTCAAGACTGTATCTTGACAGATTCGTGGATTCTAGCTAGCAACTCCCCTGAACGCTAGCTGATTGGAGTGCCAGGCACCACCCACTGCGGGCCTCAGTTTCCCCAGCTTCAAACTAAAGCGATGGCTTGGATGTAAGGATTCTTTTTTCTTTCTTTCTTTTTTTGAGACGGAGCCTCGCTCTGTCGCCCAGGCTGGAGTGCAGTGGCGCAATCTCGGCTCACTGCAAGCTCCGTCTCCCGGGTTCACGCCATTCTCCTGCCTCAGCCTCTAGAGTAGCTGGGACTACAGGCGTGCACCACCACGCCTGGCTAAATTTTTTTGTATTTTTAGTAGAGACGGGGTTTCACCGTGTTAGCCAGGATGGTCTCGATCTCCTGACCTCGTGATCCGCCCGCCTCGGCCTCCCAAAGTGCTGGGATTACAGGCGTGAGCCACCGCGCCCGGCAGGATGTAAGGATTCTTGAGGTCCCTCCCAAGTTTGTTTAATAAACTTTTTCGAGGGCGAGGGTCTCCAAGCCACAAGGGCGCATCCCTTTCACCTGCTTGGACGCTGCTTGGCCCCAGTTGGGGAGCCTGGTCCGAGCACCCGGCTTTCCAGCGTTAGCCGGGACAGCTGTGGTCACGCCGCCGCGCTCTGCAGCACCTCCCTCCGCGTCCTCGCGGTGGGGCCACAGCGACATCTAGTGGCTGAACGCATTTTAAACACTCGGCTTGCTGCGGGCGAGTCGGGGCGCTGCTCCCCCCCCCCCCAGGACTCAGCTCTCATTTGCCTCCGCGCTTCGGCGGGGAGGTGGAGACGGGCCGAGTCAGAGTGAAAACACACTCCCTGAGGGTGCAATTGAGTCGAGCGGTAGGGCTGGCTTTACCCCACAGGTCAACGCTCCAGTCCCAGGTCTCGGTCATATCTGCCCCAAGGAGGGGTGGAGCCTCGGTGTGGAGCCCCGCCCCCTTGTACCCCGCCCCGCAAAAGCCTCGCCCCCTTATGACGGCGCCTGCTCACTGCGCCTGCGCTTGCCACACAGCCACACCCACACCCACACCCACACCCACACGCGCGTGGCCTTCGCGAAGGTGTCGCTGCCAAGAAACGTGTCCTGCGCGCTACGCCGTCTGTTTCTAGGGCAACGCCGGCGTCTCTTAGCAACCGCGCGCGGCCTAGGTGGGTCCCCCCGGAACCCCCAGCCCTGCCATGGCGACCGCGAGTCCTAGCGTCTTTCTACTCATGGTCAACGGGCAGGTGGAGAGCGCCCAGGTGAGCGGCCGTGGACCCCGCTGGGTCCCGTCCCCCAGCGTCCCCCGGGGCCCTTCCCGCAACCCCCCAGGTTGCCCCGTGGCCCCCGGAGAGCCACGTCATTCCTCTGAGCCTCTCGATTAGGCGGGGGAGGGGAGCCAGCATTGGAGGGCTTGGCGCGAGGTTGCCGGGATCCTGAGTCCCGATGGGCAGGAATAGAAGCAGACCTCGAGATGTTGAGCTAGTACCGAGGTCCCAGGCCTGTGTACCCTCGCACGGATCATGCCCACTTGGTTGGATCACTGGCAGGAGCCTCCCAGGGTGTAACGCGAGGAGCCTAGGCTTGGCTGAGTTTCCAGCATTTGCGCCGTGTCCGATGTGGAGCTACTGTCCTACGTTCTGAATCCCTAGATCCCTGGACTCGGGTTCGAATCCAACCATCCAACGATGGTGGTGGCCTGGAATAACCCAAGGAAGGTGTGCCTGCCAGGCCTGAGGGACGCTACTCTCCATCCCCCTACACTTTAGAGGAATCATTTATTGTAAATATAAACCAACGCTCACCAAGTCCTCAATATGTCCCAAAGTTGGTGCTCGGCACTGGTCCATCCTTACAATCTTGCCAGACAGTCACTACTAACACCCCCATTTTACAGCCGGGGAAACATACCAAAGGAACTATTCTGTCTGGAAATTGAACCCACGCCTATCTGACCTCAAAGCTTCACTACACCGTCCTTCCAGGCTGTTGGAGGTGGTGTTTATTATTCTTTTATTATATTATTGTGAGGATTGACTGAGATGGTTTGGGTAAGGCTCTGACAGGGCCTGATGCTTTGTAGGTGTCTCCTGCCTTCCTGTTTCATCAGGGATACTACTCCATGCTCCCACCCTGTCCACCTCTGCCTTAGCCTAGTGCCTAAGACCGTCTTTCCCCACTCTCCTGTTCTATCCCATGAGGGGCTCTCCGCTGGGCTGAGTCACATGTCTCTGTGCTCTCAGCATCATTGACCCCCCCACACACACATACTCACAGTCACACTGTTCCTCCCTCCTCTGCTCTCAGCACCTCCCTCTCTTCGGGCCTCAGCTCCAGTCTTGCATATGATGGCTTCTCAGACCTTTCTATTCAGCACCATTCCCTTACACCAGTGGTCCTCAACCTTTTTGGCACCAATTGTTTCGTGGAAAACAATTTTTCCATGGACGGGAGGTGGCGAGGGATGGTTTTGGGATGATTTGGGGACGTTACATTTATTGTGCACTTTATTTCTATTATTATTACATTGTAAATAATAATGAAATAATTATACAACTCACCATAATGTAGAATCAGTGGGAGCCCTGAGCTTGCTTTCCTGCAACTAGATGGTCCCATCTGGGTGTGATGGGAGAGAGTGACAGATCATCATGCATTAGATTCTCATAAGGAACATGCAACCTAGATCCCTCACATGTGCAGTTCACAGTAGGGTTCGCGCTCCTATGGGAATCTAATGCTGCCAGTGATCTGATAAGGAGGTGGAGCTCCCATGGTCATGCGAGCAATGGGGAGCAGCTGTAAGTACAGATGAAGCTTTGCTTGCTCGCCTGCTGCTCACCTCTTGCCCACCTCTTGCCGTGTGGGCCCGTTCCTAACAGGCCACGGACTGGTACCGGTTGGGGATCCCTGCCTTAGACCTTATCTGTGCCCAGCCCTGTGCCAGGCAGTGGGGACACAGAAAGGCATTAAATCTGTGCGCTGCTCACGGTCTAGAGGAACTGACAGACTTAGACACAGGCAATCATTGCTTTTATGGAGGGAAGCACAGGGCTAAGGGAGCCAAGAGGAGACCTTAAACCAGCCTGAGAGTTAGGGCAGGCTCCCTGAAGGGTAAGTTTTGAAGGGTGAGCAAGAGTTTCCCAGATGAAGAAGTAGGAAGGACAAATCAGACAGAAGGCAGAGCCTGAGCAAAAGCCAGGGGCTGTGGCACTTGGGAGTCTCCCGTGGACTCCCGCATCTTGGTCCTCAGCCTCTCCTCTGAACGCCACGTGCACATCTCCAGCTGTCACTTAGACCCACTCCCAGGTGTCTGACATTCGGAATTCCTCTTGGCTGCACCTGCCTAGCAAATGCATTGGCCTTAGCATGAATATACCACCAGTCGACAGAATCTGTCTGTGCTTTTTTCAGTTTCCAGAGTATGATGACCTCTACTGCAAGTACTGCTTTGTGTACGGCCAGGACTGGGCCCCCACAGCGGTAAGCTGGACTCTTGGGCCTCCCTTACTGCCTTCATGACCTTTGGGGTTTCTGAAGGTGTCATACCCTTCCCCTCCCGATTCAGAACCAGTTGAGAGGTAGACACTGAGTTCAGGGGAACCCAAACATGAGTGTTCCTGGTAAAGCGGGAGCAGAGGACATAGCCACGGTTGGACTCCCTGATCCAGCCACCAAGACTGCACTCACACGCCCTACCCTGTGAGCTTGCCTGGAGCAGCAAAGAGCAACGCCTGCAGCAGGAGGCAGGCCCCAGTGAGCCAGCCTGGCTGTGGCTGAGCTGTGGACACTCTGGCCAGTCTGCTCACCATTTGGCCCCTCCTCAGCCAGTGGGGAGGACCTGGAGTCAGAAGACAGAGTAGGAGCTTTCCTTCCAGGACTTTCCAAGGGGTAGCTCGCCTCCACCAGGTGAGGGACTATGGTGACGACTTCAGCCCACTGTGCACTCTGCTGTTTGCAGAGCGCTTGTTTCACCTTCATCGCAGTTTAAGAAAAGGAGGCTGGCCGGGCACGGTGACTCACACCTGTAATCCCAGCACTTGGGGAGGCCGAGACGGGTGGATCACGAGGTCAGGAGATGGAGACCATCCTGGCTCTCTACTAAACCCCGTCTCTACTAAAAATACAAAAATTAGCTGGGCGTGGTGGCGGGCACCTGTAGTCCCAGCTACACGGGAGGCTGAGGCAGGAGAATGGCGTGAACCCGGGAGGCGGAGCTTGCAGTGAGTGGAGATCGTGCCACTGCACTCCAGCCTGGGCGACAGAGTGAGACTCTGCCTCAAAAAAAAAAAAAAAAATACGAAAAGAAAAGGAGGCTGAACTTATTTAAGCCCTCTGAGCCTCAGTTTCCTTGTTTGTACAACTGAGATGATAATCCATCTTTTCCCTTCACTGATTGTTTTCGGGGTGCCGGGGATGCAGGGGTGAGCAAAGCCAAACCAGAAGCCCCTGCCTTCCCGGAGTGCATGTTCTTGCTGGGGGGTCAGATAATAAGGAGTGCATATTCTAGGATGTTAGTAAGCCAGAAGCGCCAAGGGGAGACCAAGCCAGGAAGTGACAGGGATGAGTGATGAGAGGAAGGCTGCGATCTTGCTAAGGCTGCCAGGGAGGGCCTTGCCGAGAAAGTAACTTTCGAGTAAAGACCTGAAGTGAGGGAACAAGCCATGTGGAAACCTGTAAGAACTGTCCAGGCAGAAAGAGCAGAGAGTGCAAAGGCCCTGGGGCAGGAGCTTGCCAGGCATGTTTGAGGACCAGAAAGGAGGCTGTGTGGCCACTGGAGAGCAAGCCAGCAGGAGAGTGGCTGGAGCTGGAGCAGAGGGGCACCTGGGCAGGTCTTGTAGAACTTAGAAGGTCAGAGTAAGGACTGTGACCTTTACTCAGAGGGAGATGGGATCCCATTGGAGAGCTTTCAGCAGAGAAGAAAGTGATCTGACTTATATTTTTAGAAGATTCCCTGGCTTCTATGACAAGGATAGACTCGGGGAAAGGGCAAGAGCGGGCAACCCAGTTGGCTCTGAGAGCAGTGGAGATGGGAGAGTAGGGCAGCGGCAGTGGGGTGGCGGGAGGGGCTGGACTGCAAGTATACTCTGAAGATAGAGCCGCTGGCTTCTTCTGATAGATGTGAGGTCTGAGAGAAGGAGCAGTTAGGATTCACAGCAGGGCTTTTAGCCTGAGCACTTAGGAGTGGGCAGCTGCCTTTCAGTGAGAAGAACAGATTGGGGAGAGCTACCTGGAGCTCAGCCTGGTGTGGGTTAAGGTTGAGGCACCCACTGGATATCCAAGAGGAGGTGCTGATCCAGAGTGAAGAGGCGAGGACCAGGCTGGAGGCCTGAATTTGGGAATCGTCGACATCTAGAACACATTGAAAGCCATGAGACGGATGAGATCACCAAGTACAGGTAGACGAGCTGGCCAAAGATGCAGCCTTAGGACGGCAACACTGAGAAGGAACCAGCAAGAGCCACGGAGCAGGGGCCACCCTGTGCGGTGGAGAGACGCAGAAGCCAAGGGAAGACGGTGTATCAAGGAGTAAGCAGCTGCACCAGGTGCCGCTGATGAGTCAAGTAACACGAGGACAGAGAAAGGACCATTGGATCTAGCCATGTTGGTCACAGGCGTTATTGGAGAAAACCCTTTGGTCGAGTGCTGGAGCCAGCAGTCACATTGGAGTGGGGTCACAAAAGAATAGCAGGGGAGGAATTGGAGCCGGTAATCGTGGCAGCTCTTTGAAGCAGTTTTGCTATAAAGAGAGCAGAGAATGGATTGGTGGGTGGAAGAAGCAGCGGAATTGAAAAAGGACTGTTTTTGATAGCGAAAATACATCTATATTTACCGATGGGGATACTCGGGTGAGGGTGGGGATGCAGGAGAGTGCAAGCACTGCTGGACCATTTCCTTCAGGGGGGCAAGAGCTTGGGAACAGATCTAGTGCCCTTGGGCCCAGGAGAGTGGCTGGCCTCCCAGGGTTGTCATGCTACGGCATTGTCATGCTACAGGCTTAAGAGGTACTCCATCATCTCTTAGCCCCCTTTGTTTGGAAGTTAGTGTATTAGGAGAAGATAGCTGAGAAAACAGCCCTCCCAACTGCCTGCTGAAGATAAGGGGAGGAGCCGCAGCAGCTTGGCTCTGCTCTGAATCCAGCCTTCTCTGTCACTGTCCCCACAGGGTCTGGAGGAGGGGATCTCACAGATCACGTCCAAGAGCCAAGATGTGCGGCAAGCACTGGTGTGGAACTTCCCCATTGATGTCACCTTTAAAAGCACCAACCCCTACGGCTGTGAGTCTGCAGGGGCCCTGCGGGGTAGGGTGGCAGAGCTTTCACACAGCACCCCCAAGACAGCCTCTGCCTCATCCAGCCCTTGACTGTTCACATTCAGATTGTCACCTGGGCTCCTGAAGCAGCCCTCAACGTTCTCTCTCGCCATCTGTCCCTTTGCCTCCTATTCTTCCTCATCCCCACTCACCCGCTTCATCTGCTACAGGCTGTGCAGCTGGCCTTCTGGAAGTTCAAAGTGCATCAGGGCTAGTGGCCACACCTGTAAAAGGCAGGCTCCCCACCCTGGCATGCAGGGCTGCGGCTGTCTGGCCTGGAGGCCTGACTCTGTGCCTGCTGACTTCCCATGGCGTGTTGTGTTCCGGCCAGACCCTGGCACTTGCTCCTCCTGTGCTAGTCCCTGAAGTTCCTTCATCTGAGCTTTATTCATGCTAATCCGTCTGTCTGGATACCATTCCCGCGTCCTGTATCTAATCTCTTTCCCAAGGGCTTCCTGGCTGGCATTGCTTACTTTCTACCTTGGCTGGTGGTTATTAACCATTCTGATCGTTCACTTGCACTTCATAAGTGCCTACTGTGCACAAAGCCTGGGCTTAGTCTCCATGGGGACTATGAATACTTTCACTGTGTGGACTCACCTTCACTGTGTGGACTCATCCGAGCTTCCCAATCATACCCGCTGGAGAGATTTCTCTCCATTTCTTTTCCCATATGAGGAAACTGACACTCAAAAATGACATTTGCCTTCTGCTTTACATCTAGTGACCAAGTGTGGATTTTAATTCAGGCCCATCTGATTTCACAGTCTAGGCCTTTCTACTGCACGTGGCCTGGGCCTAGGCTCACCACGGTGTAGAGGGTCTGGAGCAGAAAATGCCTAGTGGTCCTCCTGAGCAGGGAATTCCATCCTGCTGTCATCATCCATGAGCAGGAAGCTGCAATCGACTTCCTGGAACAGTGCAATAGGTACTGTAGGTACTGGACCAGCCTCCTCCTGCCGAGGACAGGTAGGAGAGGTAAATGAAATACACAAAAGCAAAAACAAAAAGCAACTACCTCAAAGGCATCAGAGAGCTAGCAAAGTAGAAGAGATTTACCAGGCAAGATCCAGGAGAACAGAAATCCAGAGAGGTTACCCCAATCCTGTCTCCTCTGGGAGTGTTTGCTGATTTCAATAGAAGTGATTGAGAGACTGATCAAGACTTTTGACAGCCTCCCTGGGCCCAGGACACAAGAAAAACTGATGTTCAGAGCCTTCCAAGGGGGTGGGAGGAGGGCCTCAGGTAAATCTCTCCAAACTGGGTTAAGACCTCAAAGAGCTGCCCTAGGAATAAGGGAGAGATAGAAGCAGAGCAGCCTCACAGGGCTTTCAGCTCGGCCCCTGATGATTTCAACCTCCTGATTTTTCTCTTCAGCTCCAAGATTGTTACAGCCAAGGCACCTGACAAAAGCAAATAAGAAACCTCTTTGGGCTGGGCATGGTGACTCACGCCTGTAATTCCAGCACTTTGGGAGGCTGAGGCAGGCAGATCGCCTCAGCTCAGGAGTTTAAGACCAGCCTGGGCAATATGGTGAAAATCTGTCTCTACTAAAAATATTAAAATTAGCCTGGCATGGGAGTGGGCGCCTGTAATCTTAGCTACTTGGGGGGCTGAGGCAGAAGGATCGCTTGAGCCCAGGAGGTCGAGGCTGCAGTGAGCAGAGATTATGCCACTGCACTCCAGCCTGGGTGACAAAGTGAGACCCTGTCTCAAAAAAAAAAAAAAAAAAAGAAAGAAAGAAAACTCTTTGGAGAAAGATAACATCTCATAGACATGAAATTATTTCTATATATTTTTTCAAATGTAATATCTGGCATATAATAAGGCACACAAGAATCTAGACAACATAAATGATAACCAGCAAACATAAGGCAATAAGGCAACAGAGATAAACAATCTCCAGACACTGAAATTGTCAGATACATTTTTACTATGATCAAAAGAGATAAAACACACTGAGAATTATGGCAGAGAACTAGGAATCCTGACTTTTTTTTTTTTTTTTTGAGACAGAGTCTCACTCTGTTGCCCAGGCTGGAGTGCAGTGGCAAGACCTCAGCTCACTACAAGCTCCACCTCAGCCTCAGCCTCCCGAGTAGCTGGGACTACAGGTGCCTGCCACCGTGCCCAGCTAAAACCGGGTTAAGACCTCAAAGAGCTGCCCTAGGAATAAGGGAGAGATAGAAGCAGAGCAGCCTCACAGGGCTTTCAGCTCGGCCCCTGATGATTTCAACCTCCTGATTTTTCTCTTCAGCTCCAAGATTGTTACAGCCAAGGCACCTGACAAAAGCAAATAAGAAACCTCTTTGGGCTGGGCATGGTGACTCACGCCTGTAATTCCAGCACTTGCTCCTCCTGTGCTAGTCCCTCAAGTTCCTTCATCTGAGCTTTATTCATGCTAATCCGTCTGTCTGGATACCATTCCCGCGTCCTGTATCTAACCTCTTTCCCAAGGGCTTCCTGGCTGGCATTGCTTACTTTCTACCTTGGCTGGTGGTTATTAACCATTCTGATCGTTCACTTGCACTTCATCCTTTGGTCGAGTGCTGGAGCCAGCAGTCACATTGGAGTGGGGTCACAAAAGAATAGCAGGGGAGGAATTGGAGCCGGTAATCGTGGCAGCTCTT